TGAGTGTGTGTGTGAGTGTGTGTGTGTGTGTGTGTGTGTGTGTGCAGAGTAACTCCTGCACTGTATGATGTGTCGAGTCGAATAACGGCCCAGTTAGTGGTTTCATTCACACGTCACAAACGAGCTGCACATTTCTAGAGCATCTGTGGGTGTGGGTTATAGAATGTGGCTGACAGAAAACCACCTGTCACTGTCTTTACACACCACAGAGAAAACAACTGAATGATGAATATTTAAAAAAGCATACAAACAAACACAAAAACGTTGGTATTGATGCAGTAAACTAAGCGTGTTGTTGTGCATGTGTGTCAGTCGTTCAGCTCACTGCCTCAGAAGCCGCTCTCGGTCGACCTGACGGTGGAGAACGGACAGAGGTTAAAGGTCATCTACGGCTCTCACTTTGGGTTTCATGCTATCGATGTGGACTCGGGGACACCCTTCGATCTCTACCTGCCCAGTCATGTGAGTATTCTTTACATTCCTGCCACATTTCACACCACTAATAAATAAGGTTTAATAAGTGAAGTACAGTTGTAGCGTTGGGAATGTTTGTCTACTGTTGCGAGTATGAACTGTCATCATCTGTGTGCACATTCACATTAGCTTTCACTGGGAAATGTTTGGCACATGCTAGTAGGGGGTGTGCGATAATGACATAAAATGATATCTCCATATTTTCTGGAATTTTGTCGATAACGATAATTAGAGAATATTTTGCTGGGCGTGATATTGTGCTGGTATTTTGGCAGGTTTAGGACTGCCGTGGACAGCTGACTCCCAAAGCTTTTGATATTCTTCATATTCTGTCAGGTGGTTAGTTTGCAGGAGTAACAGAAATTAACTTTTCCAATAAGTTTAAATTGATTTTTACCTTTTATAGGCATTTTTACCTTTATAAGGCCATTTACCATTTTTTCTAACCTAATTAAATGTATGCATCTTTTATAAATTAATGTAAATTAAATGTAATCAATAAATTCAAATAGTAGGACACTATAGGGCTGTTAATAATCATGTATAATCAGTAACAACACAATTTGTGTTTGCAATGCAGAGGTTGCACAGAATCTGCACCTGAAGTGTAATTTAGATGCATTTAGACTGTTTAATGCTGGACATGAATGCAGTTAACCAGCAGTTACAAATGCATACAGTTGTGCTCATAAGTTTACACATCCCTTTCAGAATATGGAAAATGTTAATCATTTTAACAAAATAAGAGGGATCATGAAAATTGCATGTTATTTTTTTATTTAATACTGTCCTGAATAAGCTATTTCACATAACAGATGTTTATATATTCTCCACAAGACAAAATTCAGGGCTTAAAGTTCTCCGGCACCATATTTTATTTAAGCCAGTTATTATTGCCTCATGTCATACTAAAGCCTGGTTTTCACTTATGTTTATTTGTGTTACTAAAAATATCAGATTACTCAATTGTCAAAATAATCAGTAGATTACTTGATTACCAAAATAATCATTAGTTACAGCCCTAGATTAGTTAAAATATTTTAAATATAGTAATTTTTCATATCGGGCCGATGCCGATATTTACATTTAAAGCCATCATCGGCCGATTCCGATATTTGTCCAATAATATCGTGCATCCCTACAATTATATAAGGTAAAAACCTTTACTGATGCTCAAGAAGGCAACACAATGCATTAAGAGCCGGGTGTGTAAACTTTTTGAATTGGATAATCAGGGTAAATTGTACTTATTTTGTCTTCTGGGAAACATTTAAGTATTTATGTTGCTTCTAAAGTGCAGTACCAAATGAAAAAGATATGATCTTTTAAAATAGGGGGAAAAAAACACATCATCATCTTGTTCAAAAGTTTACACCCCCAGCTCTTAATGCATTGTGTGCCTTCTGGAGCATCAGTAAATAGCTTATTCAGGACCGTACTAAATTAAAAAATAACATGCGGTTTTCATGATCCCTCTTACTTTGTTTCAATTATTAACATTTTACACATTCTGCAAGGGGTATGTAAACTTATGAGCACAACTGTACATAATGTTTTGATGTTTAAAAAACAAAAAACAAATGTTGAGTACTGACGTTTGAAATGATTTTGGGGAAAAAAGGGAAAATATACTTTAAATATAAACCTTAGAGGGTTAGTTCACCCAAAAATGAAAATTAGCCCATAAATTGCTCACCCCTGAAGTCATCCTAGGTGTATATGACTTTCTTCTTTCAGACGAATCCAGTCGGTGTTATATTAAAAATAGTCTTTGATCTTTCAAGCTGTTTAATGGGACTCAGCAGGTGGTGCATGCATCAGTCCAAAAGAAGTGAAATAAAAATGTCCATTAAAAAAAGTGTCTCACTCGGCTCCGGGGGGTGAACAAAGGCCTTCTGTAGCGAATCGATGCATTTTTGTAAGAAAAATATCCATATTCAAAACGTAATAATCACTTTAATGTAGCTTGCGCCAACAGTTGTACACGGAGTCATTGAGTCATTCATTCAACTGATTAGTTTAGTCAGTTGATTCATTCAGCAACGAAACACCGTCATGTGTTACTCAGAGTTGCAACACAGTTCTGCTGTGGATTTGTTTGGAACTATTTTTGTTGTTGAAATACAGCAAAAACAAGAACTGTTTTGTCTTAAATGTAAGTCACTTAATATTAACTTCTAGTTTATTGGACTGTTTTATAAAATCAATATCACATTTGCAGTTATGCTGATATTTGGAGAAAAACGTCACTCTTCATGTGATTAACTATAATAGACTAAATCACACTATTATAATATTATCGTAGACTATATGTTATATGCTAGTGTGCGGCGTAGCTGAGTAAATCCAGCAATAATCAGTTGTAACGCTGTTATGTGTTCCCATGTTGACTGCACTAATGGTGGGACAATGTGTATCTGCCACCTTTTATAGACATAATTTTTTGTACTATATTTTGTTGGTAGACTGCTGCACTTTATTTAGTCACTTTGGCACTAATTTCAGAACACTGATGTCATTTTTCACTAAACTCACAGCAGTCGGGTTTAACACAGGCTGCCCAGTGTTCACATTGTGCTTTCATATCACTAAAGAAACCTCAAACTTGCTGAACCGTGTGATCAAAGAACTCATTTATCATCATGAAATACCACAGAAACATTCATTCAGATCACATACACACACTGCATACTGATAAATTCACTGTGTATTTGATTGTACAATCATTAAATGTTGTAGTACAAAACATGCTATACATATTTCATTATGATGCTCCAGGAAAATACATACATCACTGTAAGAGAGAATAATACAGACACAGTCACTCAATAAACAAATTCTGATATTTACGGTATTGATGAAATACAATCAAATAGGTTTATTTGAAACAAATCGAAGAAAAAAAAAACTACAGTTAAAGCAAAAACTGCTTTACAAGAGCCTGCAGACATAAGGTCAGATCTGAAAACCGGTGTTTGGGACCAGAAGCAGTGCTGATGTAGTGCAGTTAGTTCCTGTTCAGTGGGAACTGGTGTCTGTGGATCCCTTTATTCTGAAACATGATCTAAACACTAAATTCAACAGTTATCATTTTGATAGTCAAAGACAATAGTGTCATTGTCCAGCTAAATTCAGTTCTAGTTTTGATCTCATCTGAAAAGGAGAAAAAAAACCTTGGGAGAAGCCAGGCTATTATGAGGTATCATCACAAAACCAGCACATGTAGATATTTCACACCTTCCCTTTTCTTACAAGGAATCAATTCTGATTGTGGGGTTAAACAAAATCAGGCATCTGAAAAAAAACTGCACTCGTTTCTTTTCTGCCACACACTACAATTCAGAGCTTGTGTAAATATGCAAAGCATGCAGAACATAATGTTGTGATGATATAGAGCTGCTGACGTCCCCACACACCCACACAGCGATCCTTCACAGAGAGGAAGAGCGATGAGTGTGGTGTTCACCCACATACGCACGGACTAGTTCACCCTCACAATCTGTGTGTGTGCTAGTTTCTCCGAACTGATCTCACGTCCAAAAATAACTGCAGCCTTCGCCACGTTCCCAGAGCATAAGCCCATTGAAATGACCTGTTATTTGAGAGTTTTTTTCTAATACCAGGCAGTAGATAAATTTAGAGTGAACTAGCGGTGTGAAACAGAACTGGAGGCTGAGCGGCACTAGATCGTGTAGTTTTCCATACCAACATTTTCTCATCCATTCTCTCGTTCATTCGTTCTGTCTCTTTTTCACATTCTCACACACACACACAGTTGTTGTCTTCACTTGCACACAGTCATTAGTAAAGTGTTTCTGCGCTCGTGTAAATCTGCCTCTCCCTCTTGGAAACACACGCTCTCTGTGGCGGTGCTCATGAGAATCCCACGGCAGAGGATAAAGATCGCTCTGCGGCTCTGGATGCCTGTGTTGATGCTCAGGATTGTGGTGGCTCTACAGAGGGACGGCAGCACAGTGTGTGTCAATTTATTTCTGAGTCAGGCAAGTACAGTGGGAGGTGTGCGATTGTGTTAATGAGAGAATATCTATTCTAATGTTTTATTGTCATGAGCTTGGGAGACCTGCATGTAAAAGTGGTTAAGAAAATGTTTTGTATTAACTTTACACATACTGTGACTTTTGATACTATTAAAATGTGTTTAAACTCACCCTTGTAAACAGACTTACATGGTCAGTGCATTTACTTAATTAGCAATTTGTGATGAGAACTTGAATTTTATGATCACTAGAATAATGACCAAACCCTTAACACTAATTATTGCATTTGTCATGAATGATATCTCAAATCATGTGGCTTGTTTACGAGAGGTATGTGAATGTTGTTCGGACTCATGATCGTCACCTGGCTGATAACACGGATGGAAAAAAAATCTCATAGATTTACCTTGTCTAGAGACCAGAAGAGATATCATAGATGCCTGGGGGTGGACAGTAAGCAATCACACAACAATGCACTAAAAACCTCTCAAAACACTGAAGCAATGCTCTGGCAACCACCAAATACAGTATTTCTTAACTCCTGTCCTCTGCACAGTTTTGTATGTATTCCTTATTTGATCTAGAACACTATAGCAACTGCGCAGCATTGCACTAAATAACTTAACTTGACTAGAGTAACCCGTTAGGGGCCAAGGGAGATAATATATATAGGCGTAGATAAGAATAATCCTTTAATAAGTGCTTTTATTGCTCAGAAATACAAGGGTAGGGGTTTACAAAACCCATGAAACTGATGAAACTGTGTTCATACATAACAGTTTGTAAAAGTATAATAACCCAGTTGGAAAAAAAAAAGTTATTTCTGGATCCCTGATTATTAGGACTGGGACAATAAATCGATGCATCGCAAATCGAGTAATTATTCTGCAACGATTCTGAGATTATCGGAATGCATCACGATTCTCTCTTGAATTAATAACTGAGCTTAGTTTTGGACAGCAGATGGCACTGCGTGCTTTAGAAACAGCCGCACTCTGCTTGCTTCCAGTTCCTTACACATGCTTGAACATAAAATAATCATTCATACAGTTTGAAAAGGTTGAAGCGAATTACAAGGGTGGTCATAGTGGGCTGTGTTTACATTAATCTCACGTCATAAAAGCCGAGGTTTAAGTACATTTAACCACTTACATGACTCAGTCAAACGCACAAGGGCTCTTCTTCATGAGCATTGAGTGTGCAGTTAAAAACTAACCTAGAGCGCCATCTGCTGTTAAAAACTAAGCTCAGAATTGATTCAAGAGAGAATCACAATGCATTCTAATATCTCAGAATCAATCCACAAATTGCGATGCATCGATTTATTGTCCCAGCCCTACTGATTATGTGACCCCGTATATGCCACCCCCTAGAGAAACACCGCACAACCCAAAAGTGGACACTAGTGGCCAAGCCATTTTGTGAAGTGATGTGAAGGCCAAGTATGGTAACCCATACTCAGAATTATTATCTGCATTTAACCCATTAAAACCATAAAAATACATGATAAAGCACCAATTGTATGTGTAATGTCCTAATTTAGTAATAAAGAATGGAAACCTTGACAAGGAACTTAGGAAGCACAAAGGGCTATACATACACAAGGGTAACAAGGCTAACTAAATACGGCTGAAGACAATACGACCAACGAGGGGGAAAACGGGAACTAAACAGAACTACAAACTAAAAGACTACATTAAACAAGAGCACCGAGCCCCCTATTTAAGAGACAACTTATGACACCCATGAACACGCAAAAAACAAATCCAGGAGGGTTGTGGAGCTGAGGAGGACTAGAGAGAGGGATAGAGGGACAGGACAGGACCATGAAGTGGAAAAGACCTGGACAGCACAGGGTCCCAGTGAAGCAAGGGATCGAGGCAGAGCCAGTGGAAATGGAGACCATGGCGGAGCAGAAGAGAGTAGGAGCAGGGTAGCTCCGGGGCTGGAGTGGACTCTGGGACTGCCTCCCCTATTTAAGAGACAACTTATGACACCCATGAACACACAAAAAACAAATCCAGGAGGGTTGTGGAGCTGAGGAGGACTAGAGAGAGGGATAGAGGGACAGGACAGGACCATGAAGTGGAAAAGACCTGGACAGCACAGGGTCCCAGTGGAGCAAGGGATCGAGGCAGAGCCAGTGGAAATGGAGACCATGGCGGAGCAGAAGAGGGTAGGAGCAGGGTAGCTCCGGGGCTTGAGTGGACTCTGGGACTGCCTTCCCAGCTATGCCAGAGAGTTTGAGGGCAGGCGCCATTGCCTTTGATGGCAGGGACACTGTCACCTCTGTGCCGAAGGTGTCATGCAAGGAAGTGTGTGCAGCCCACATACTCGGGACATTGGCAGCCTTCATTGGAAGCACTCGGGGCCACCAGACCTGGGACCTACGGGACCACCAGACATGGGATCTCCGGGACGACAAGACTTGGGACCTCCAGGACTACCAGACCTGGGACCTCCGGGGCCACAAGACTTGGGACCTATTGGACCACCAGATCTGGGACTTCCAGGACAACAAGACTTGGGACCTATAGTACCACCAGACCTGGGACCTCTGGGACCATCAGACCTGGGACCTCTGGGACCACAAGACCTGGGAGCTCCGGGACCACCAGATCTGGGACCTCCAGGACAACAAGACTTGGGATCTATAGTACCACCAGACCTGGGACCTCCGGGACCACCAGATCTGGGACCTCCAAGACAACAAGACTTGGGACCTATAGTACCACCAGACCTGGGACCTCTAGGACCATCAGACCTGGGACTTCCGGGACCACAAGACCTGGGACCTTCAGGACAACAAGACTTGGGACCTATAGTACCACCAGATCTGGGACCTCCAGGACAACAAGACTTGGGACCTATAGTACCACCAGACCTGGGACCTCTGGGACCATCAGACCTGGGACCTCCGGGACCACAAGACCTGGGACCTTCAGGACAACAAGACTTGGGACCTATAGTACTACCAGATCTGGGACCTCCAGGACAACAAGAATTGGGACCTATAGTACCACCAGACCTGGGACCTCTGGGACCACCAGATCTGGGACCTCCAGGACAACAAGACTTGGGACCTATAGTACCACCAGACCTGGGACCTCTGGGACCATCAGACCTGGGACCTCCGGGACCACCAGACCTGGGACCTCCAGGACAACAAGACTTGGGAACTATAGTACCACCAGACCTGGGACCTCTGGGACCACTGGATGTGGGTGCACTGTACTTGGGACTACCAGGCATGAGACCACCAGACTGCACAGAACTCTGATATTGACATGCTATATGCATTATTAGACAGTTTACATTTATGGCTTCCAAGACCTTGTCCACACTAATATGTTTTAATCTGAAAACGCATCTTTTTCTCTCTGTTTTGGCCTTCCATCCACACTGAGATGGCATTTTTGTCAAAGAAAATTGAGCTTTTTGAAAACGCAGTTTTTGTGTTGTAGTGTGGACTGTGAAAATGGAGGCTTTTGAAAGTTTAGTCATGTGACACATTGTACCAATAGATATCTATGTTTATACCGTTATTGTTCCTGTTATGTGCTATTCACTTTCACACTATTGCTACAGATGTGTTACATTGCACACTCTTCATATCACAATCCTGCAAAGATGACAGGAAATGTACTTGTGATTGTTGTTTGTGGCAAAACATGAGGGCAGTTGCGTTTTAGATCAGACATACAATCAGAAGTGCGACCTGAACGCATCAGTGAATGAGATATTTTCCTAAATAAAATGATTCTGCCAGAAGAATTGCATGAAAACATATCATGTCTGTATTGTCTCAGTAAGCTTTTTTGAGGCTTCACGCATGTGCAGTTAAGCAAATTTAACATTTCCTGACGTTTCAGTGTGGATGAAAAACTTTTGGAAAATGCTTGAAACCGCTAGCATGGACGGACAGTGTTTAAAACGAAAACGCCGTTTTCAAACATATCCGGATTAATGTAGACGTAGCCCAAGGCTGCACTTGTAAATGGTTGACTGCTGTATGTTTGTAATAAAGAACAATTTGTGTCTGCAAGTTTCTGTATCTCAGCAATTTATTATGCAGTGAGCCTGAAGGATACATTTTATTATTGACTTTATTAATGACCTTTTTGTCTGATTTACCTCATATTGTTTTTACCCACAAAACTTGTTTATACCCCCCTTTTTTTTTTAAAGATGCAAACTCTGACTTGGATTCGTATCAAATTTTCATATCTAATGTAGCTGTATGTTATTTATGACAATGTGTTTCAGACAAGTGCTTGTCCTTCCAATTTCCAAATTTTGCTTCTCTAATAATTTTGTTATATGTGCCCCTTTGTTTAAAAACATAATTGAATTGATTTTATTATAAAGCATAAATGTAAGATGTCTCAACTATACATAGTATTAGTGCATATTTTATTAACATTTATTAGTGCATTAGTATACATTTTTCTCTAATAATATACCACTTTATATAATTTACAACTTTAACATGAAAATACTACTTTCATGTAATGACCAGGTGACCTGCTGGTAAATGTAAATGTACTTGAGAGGAACTATGGGTGATGTGACTCCATAGCATAAGCAGTACAGTAGAGTGTCATATCTGTGAATTCTATTTGCTGACACGGACTGGATTTATTAAGGCAGTTACTGTTAATCTCTTAATAACAGGAATGCCTGTGTGTTTCAGATCCAAGGTGTGATTCGGCCGCATGCCATCATCATCCTCCCCAGCAGCAGTGGGATGGAGCTGTTGCTGTGTTACGAGGACGAGGGCGTCTATATTGACACCTATGGCCGCATCACCAGGGAGACGGTGCTGCAGTGGGGGGAGATGCCCGCCTCTGTGGGTGAGCTCCAGCACTCCACACACACACAC